ACCGGACAATAGCTGTATTTCAAAGTATTTAGTTCTTTGGAAAGAACTGTATTAGGTAATGTTTGCTTAGTTCTTTCTTTTGGAAGAACTGTATCAGTGATAGTAATCTTAAAAGAAAGGAAGTGGATGGACTCACATAGATAGATATACCGTCAGGTGAATCAGTTGTCAGCTGCGACCAGGGCGTCTCCTTCCGCGGGACCGGGAACCAAACGCGGCAGCCGCAGCGGCGTGGAGTTCGGCCGGTCCTTCCTCGCCTCGCCTTGGCCGGGGCTCTTCACTGCACGGACACTCTTCTCTGGTGCTCTTCAAGCGCGAGAGAAGAATGAGACAGCGACACAGCGATGTTTCGCCTCTGGTGTTATATACTGTCCGGCCTGGACGCTCGGTTAGGGCAGGTGCTCCATGATTGGTGGAGGGGTCCCTCTAATTGGCTGGCGATGTTGGCCAACCCGGACCACGCACCATCCTTCCACGTAGTCGCACGGCGTTGAACAGCCCCCGGGCAGTCGCTGATTAGTGGTAATATGTGCTTGCAGGCGTGGTTTAGTTTGAGGCCAGCAGTTCACCAGCGGTTTGTTGCAACTGTAAGGGAAACCACTCTGCCAACTACCCCGGCTGCAAGCCGAGGCCACCTGCACGCAAAGTTGACACAAACGTCACACTCTCAGCGGTAACTAAGGCGAATCACCCTGCACAGGCAAGGCGCGCGGAAAGGAAGGCAGCCTTCTCTGCAGCCCGAAAGGGAATTGAGAGGGTGAACCCTGCGTCCTGAGCGCTCTCAGCCACACAGACAACACCAAAAGCGCCTGTTGCTTTCTCGGAAGCGGAACTCCGAAAGGAGGTCGCTAAACTAAAGCAACAAGTCGCACAACTCACCTCACTTCTCCAGGCTCTCTCCCAACAAGTGTTCAACCATAATGGCTGGACAACAAACGCAGAGAAACCCAAACACCCTCTGTAGCCGCCTGGAACATCAACGGTCACATTGACTCTAGCCAAGGACGATTAATAGAGCTATTCTGCAGCAAACATTGCATAGATGTTCTCCTGCTGCAGGAAACAAAGCTACAAAGCTCAGATCAAATGGAGTTGCGCGACATGGAAATCTACTATGCCGATCGCGACGGTCGTAACCGCGGGGGTGGCGTTGCGGTTGCCGTGCGCCGTTCGATACCCCACTGCTTAGCAGCCCTCTCTTGCCTCGCTCACGTCGAAGCTGTAGCAATCGTGGCGAACTCGACGGAGAGACGGTGTGTGTTGGGCGTTCTGTAGAAATCTTCCATGAATAAATTGGCAGCGAAGGGTGTTAGGGGCGAGCCCATAGACGCTCTGTCCACTGGGGCGTAGAACCCGTTTTGGCACTGGAAGAAAATTGAATTTAGCCAGAAGGCAGCCAGTTGCGTCCATTCTCTCGGCTGGCTCCGTTCCTGTAGTTTCTGTGGAATCACTTCCACGGCCTCGTTCACTGGAACTTTGGTGAACAGAGATGTCACATCAAAGCTGACCAACAAGTCACCCCTGTTGAGTCTTTGTTGTCAAATAATGTCCACGGAGTGCGAAGAGTTCCTCTACAGAACTACGCAGTGTCATCCGGACAGCCAAGAAGTCAACTCTCCCAATTTTCGAAAATCGCAAAAAAATTATCATTGTTAATAGATTCATAGGTAAATCTATATATAGATACGTAGAGAAATGGTGGTCTCTGATGCTGAGACTGGTATACAATGAATTTATAAGTACATTTCAGAAATTCACGGACACTGCACATTTTATAAGTACATTTAAAAATTCACATTTTTCTTCAAGACATTTCCACAACACTGGTTATCATTATTTCAAATTATAAATAAAGAACATGTGTACTTACCTGCTTGTACAAGAAATCGGCATGCCTTTTCTTGCTCGTGGTAAATTTTGTTATAACTCTTTCGTTAAAGTCTGTAGTTTGGGTGATGAAGTAATGCTTGATGGGAAGCATTGCAATAGTAGATAATCTATCTTCTGCCATTGTATTGTGCAGGGACAGTTTTAATCCTTTTAGACTGGAAAAACGATCTGTCTCGCATGTCATAGGAATTGTAAGAACCACACTCAGCAGTTTAACACATTCACTGAAAGTAAACATTATTTTATTGTGTTTGATAAATTCCATCAGTGGCAAAGCCACATATATATTTAAAAAGTCTTGTATACTGTAGATTAAAGTTCTATGTGATTTTTTTTTCTCCTCAATAAATGCATTCAGGAGTAGCTTTCAAAACCTTATCTGGAAATTCACTCTCATACTCTGCAAACGTATCCAGTAAAAATAATACTGCCGCTAAGTGCAACAAAACTATATCGTCTTGGATTTCCATTAGTATGACAGCACACACTTCTAGTGAATCTCTTTTTCTTGCATTCTTTCTTTTTTTCTTTCTTTCTTTCTTTATTTTGTGTGCTTAACCGACAGCTGGTGTAATATGTTGAATTCTTATGTTGCTTCTGATTTTAAGAATTTCCAACTCAAATGCTTTATGTTTTATCTGAACAAATGATGGAGTACAGTCACTCCATGATGGAGTACAGCCTCTGAAGTTGACTGAACAAAATGTCAACATGTGGCATTATTTTGTAAAAAAATGTGAACTAAAATATGAAATCTCCATCATTTAAGACACCAATGAATCCAGAAGCTTGAGACACAGAGCTACAGCTCATTCTGATCCCTTGTTGAATCTGTTTCATACACTCTATGAACCCTCTATACTCGAAAATAGTGATCACAAATCTTGAATGAAAGTTCCATCTAGTAGGAACTAATATTGGTAAACGTTTTTGGACCATTTCCTCTAAGACAGATATTCTTTGTGGGGAAGGGAAAAAGAAAGAGCAGATACCTTGAAGAATAAAAAAACAAAAATATTTGACCACTTTTAGTCACAGAAGCTGCTTTTAACAATATTAAATTTAATTGATGTGCATAGCAATGAACATATTTGGCATGTGTGTATTTTTGTTTTATAATTGCTTGCACTCTGTGTTTTGAGCCAGACACCACCGAAGCTCCGTTGTATGTTTGCGCTAGAGTTTATTTTCGCAGCCTTCAAAGTGATGTTGCAGCTCAGATAATATACATGCAGCTAATGAGCCAGCAGCTTGAATGACAAATCTCCAGAATCTTTCAACAGGTTTGAAATTTATCTAGTACCAAATACTATAACTGGTTGAAAGGCTGAAGCTACATCACTCGCTTCGTCGTCCATAAGAGAAACAAAGTCTGAGTTCTGCATTTCTTTTGATATTTCCTTGAGGTATACTTCAAGCATACACTTTAGGATTTCATTCTGAATGGTTATTGAAGTGCCTTTGATGCTTTTTCTAAACGATTTCTCATCAGCACTATCTAATTCTGCACTAAAATTTACTAGTCCACGAAACCTACCCTCCAAGTTTCCGAGTCATCATCTCCATGTAATGCCTTCTCAAATGAACCACAAAATCAAATACAATTAATTATAATGTTCAAAAATGCCTATTCTCAGCTACTTTCTAGTTTATTTCTGTGTTCTCCTATAGACATTGTCCAGTTGTTGGATCACGTTTACATTACCAAACATTACTAGGTTCAGAGAACTTTTTCATGTGAATTTTAAATGAGATATGTTGTTTGCCTTGCTGATGCTAAATATCAACCACTCCTTGTTTGTCCAAGTGTCCTCATCACCGAACAAAATACAACAGAAGCAGAATAACGTGTTTTTAATTACGCAAACGTATTTTTCGTACACCTCTGGATTAAATTTACTGTTAATATATCTCTTTTTCATTAGTTCATATTGATTGTTTTGTTTTGGCCATCCCAGGCGTTTGATTTCACGTTTTTCTTCTATCGATCGTAATGAAAAAAGATGTTCTAGTAACAAACTAACTGAATTCATTACTTCTCTCTCTTTATCTTTCTCTTTGTATATTTCTCTCTCTCTCTCTCTCCCTCCCTCCCTCTCCCTCTCTCTTTCTCTCTCCATCTCTTTCTCCCCCTCTCATTTCTCTTCTCTCTCTTTTTCCCTCTCTTTTTCTCTCTTTCTCTCTCTTTTTCTCTCTTTCTTTCTCTCTCTTTCTCTCTCTTTTTCTCTCTTTCTTTCTCTTTCTCTATCTTTATCTTTCTCCTTCTCCCTCCCTCTTTGTCTCTTTCTCTCTCTCTTTCTCCCCCCTCTCTTTTCTCTTCTCTCTTTCTCTCTCTCTTTCTCTCTTTCTTTTCTCTCTTCTCTCTTTCTTCTCTCCTCTCTTTTTCTCTTTCTTTTCCCTCTCTCTTTTTCTCTCTCTCTTTCTTTCACTCTCTCTCTCGTCTCCATGGGTCCAAATTTTATGATTACATTTTGTTGTAGGATAGCGTAAAGGATGCTTAGAAGAATGGTGTTAATCTCATTGTCACTTCTCTACCCTTAAGTAATGCAGTGTAATGTTGCTTCACATCCCTTGCAGTGTAATATTCCCCTTTTCTCTTGTGTATGACCCATATGAAATTTCCCGAAAATTCAGAAGTTTCTGTGAACATGTGAATAGAAAGAAATTATTCAACCGTGTATGATATTCTTAAAGCCCTGTGTTGATTTTACCGCGAGGGAACCAAAGAATTGTGGAAATGTGAAAAAATGTATGTTTTTTTGATAAACTTTAGTTTCATCATTGTGAATATTATATGAAAGTAGGAAATTAGGAGGAGGAAATTTTGTAATAGAAAATAAATGTTTGCGAGAAAGTCTGTGCCAATGTGTTATACCACTACTTTATTTTTTAATTCAATATATTACAATATGTAATTAATTATCTTGAAAGTGTAATTTTGTATATTTTATTCATAGTCAATAATAATAATAATAATAATAATAATAATAATAATAATAATAATAATAATAATAATAATTTAATAAACAAAAATAGTGTTAACAACAATTATTATTCTTTTGCAAATTTGTAATACTTGTGTTGAATAGTAATTATTGTTTGTTTTACAGGCAATTTGTTCATACTACATGCAACCTCTGGCTAATAGCATTTTTGTTGCTCACCTAAGATTAGCCTTGGCTATGATTTGCTCAGTATTTTTTATATTGTTGAGTATTACTGGAGTAATTTCTCATTTACAATTCCATGGTATGATGCAACTTCTTCTGTTGAAATATGTTGTTTGATTGTTTGGTGTATATTTTATGTCCTACAGTTATAAATATTAATTATTTTTCTTGTAGGTGCCAATCCTCGTAAATGGTATCCCGTGGATGGAGGATGGGAACTCCATGTCATAAGTACAGTTTCAGAATGGATTGTTGCTATTGCATTCTGCATTTTTATCTTATCCTTTTCTCAAGAGTTTCAGTCTCTCAGCATGGAAGCAAAGGTTAGTTTTATGCTGTATATCTTCCTATTATATTTTTATGTAATGAGAGACGAGATTCTTCAAAATTTAAATTGATTATTATTGAATAAAAAAAATGTTTCGATATTATCATAGCTGTAATTTAATATTTGGCTATTGTTTTTTGAGTATTTATCTCTTGTGTAAGTGAGTTGAGTAAAGTTTGTAAATTTTTATCATAAAGTTTTCTTTTTAGTTTAATTTGTTGTGCAACATGAATCTTTTGCTAGTTTCAATGAAGATTCATCATTGTTAAGGAAAATGTTTGAGATTATAAAACATTTTTACTATTTATATATTTGTTTTGATTGAGGTTCCAGACTCTGTTATAAGTGGCATTCTTTGTTTCTTTATTTAGTTATAAAGTTGTTGAATACATTGAACTTATTTACAGTATCTTCAAAGATTCAATATTGCAAAATATATATGACAAATAGTTCATTAACATTCTCATTATTTATATGTTACCTTGAACACTTAAATTATAGACATTTTGGGACATTTCCTTCTTCCAGTTATTGGAAACGTTCTATGAAAACTTGTCAGTTATACTGTTCAAAGGGACATGAAGCTGACAATACCTTAATTTGTATTGGTTGAATGAAAATCAGTCATTCATGTTTCAATTGAAATTAGTATTACACCATTCACATCAATGTGAAATAAACATAATTCAAGAGTTTGTAATTGATTTTCATGCATTTTCAGATAGTTCTTCTTACTGAACGAGTTGAAACATCTGATGTTAATGATACATCACCATTTGTTCCTCATACTAGTGCTGATGAAGTTGATGTGATTGTTAGGCAAAGTGGAGCAAGTGTTATTACTTGATTGAAAATTTGTACAAATCACAGTGCATTAAACCCTCATGACTCAACTTCCTGGTATGAAGAATCAAATCAGCATTCCGTTGTGATAATTGCTTCCAGCCAAGCACACTGTAATCATAGCAGTAGAGTGGAATCTCCAGATAATTCAGAAGGTTTGCATGATGGATACAGTGAACCTGGTGTCAGCACACCTGAAGTGATGCATTCTGCTCGGTGTTCAAGACCTTCAGAATGTGGTAGTGAACAATCAAGTGAACATGTGCCACAAGTACCTCATTCTGTTGTTATAATTGCTGCTTCACAAGAATGCGGCAATTCATTAGGTGAATGTAACATTAATGAGAGTGAACAGCCAGTTGTACCTGAAACTCAGCAAGAAAGTGATATATTACCAAGTAAATTGTTATCTCTTTCACTCTCATTGTTAGTTGCAGCATTTTTTCAGGCAATTCGATGTTTACAAGAACTTATTGAAGATACATTTCGAACTTTGCACTGTGATTTGGATCTAGAATAAATTGGGATGCTATGCAATGATATCCTTGAAACTACTTGTGGTAGTTTCTAGGTCATAGATCTACTTTTGGTAGTTTCCAGGAGAATTTCTGATGTGACAATACAATTTCTCAAAGAAATTGGAGAGTGCACGTATTAGCTTTCAACAGAAAGTGCTAATACGTTATTTTACTGAGTATTATGTTGTAAAACAGGCGATTGTTAGTTTATAGAAGCTTGGTTAGTGTTTTTTTAGAATGTTGATAAGATAAAAAAGATATGCAAAGCAATGAAGGTCTTGCATCTCTTTCCCTAAAGTTATTGCTTTATAGTTCTTCAAATTAAATTATTAGGTATTTTTTATTGTCATATCAAATTCAGATAGAAGAACATTCTACTTGGATGACAAGAATTGTTTCAGTGCTCTCTTTTCCTTTTATGTAGGCTCAACAATGAATTCTATTTTTAACTAAGGAATATCTTTCCAAACATCTGAAATGATTTCTTACTTGTACCTACACATTTTTGAAGCATTTTCTTTGAACTTGCGTATATTATTTATGTAGATTCCTTAAAAAACTACAGTATTTTAATGTTTGCTTTTGTTTGTGTATACAGCACTGTACTTAGTGAAACTGAAAGGTACAGGAACTTTTTATGATTAGTTGCAAACTCTTGTGTCTTATATGTGTTATTGATATTAATCTTTGTTTACTTCTATTGAAGTAGACATAATTTTTATAATGATCTGCTTTATCTTTTCTGAAAGAAATGGTGTTTTTTCTCCCTCACAAACCTTGATGATTTTTTATATTATGTCGTCATTTCTGCTTTGTTAATTTTAAGTATTAAATATTGAAGATATGTTGTAAAAAACACAAAAAAAATCAGTATTTGTTATTTTATACAAAGTATTTCTTGTAGGTGATTAGTATATAGATATTTTCAAATAATTTGATTGTTTTGAAGATAACATTTTATTACTGTTTTATTATCTGAATCATAAGAATTGTAAATAAGTATTGCTTTAGTAACATTTTGACAGAAATGCGGAGCAAAAGTAATGGATACAGTTTCATTGCATCTGTAGAATGTTTGTTATTGCAATACTTGTGGTAAGTAGGGAAGGAACTGATCTGAATTTGACAATTATATGTCTCTCACCTACACAAATGTTTGAAATGGTTCACTTGCTTATTTATGTTATTTTCTTAATATGATTATGTAACCCCCCATTTGTTATTATTAATATTATTATTAATACTAATGCTACTCCTAATAATAATATCAATAATAATATTTGCCATGGACGAAATTTTTTTTCTTCTGTTCACTCTGAAAGTATGAGGATAGTCTTTCTCTTTGAGGAAGAAAATTTTCATGGTGAGCAAATTTTAGTTATTACAGTTTTCTAGAATCTAAGGTTCTTTCTTCGAAATAATTATACATTTATTTGTTAGTCTCGGAAGGACACTGGCTAAATTTCCAGAATAAAGAAGTCTCTAGAAAAAAAGCATGAGTGTATAAAAGATAATTCTTGCTAATGACATATGAGAAATTTGTATGTGTTACTTTTGAACTGCATATTATGTATTTGCTTTATTTAAAAAGCTGTGTTCTAGAGATTATTGAGACTAGACTGCATTTTGTAGAACATAGATCTTTCTCAACAAAGAATGACCTGAAAATGAATTTCTAAAACTGAAAAATCATATTGTATGCATTAATTTCTTAAAAAATGGTTTTGATGTAAGAAAGTCAATATATTTGATACTGCCATCAAGAATGTTAGTTGCAAGATTGGAGACTGATCTTAAGAGTGGCTTAATAATATTGTAGTGTTAATTAAAGGTCATTTCTTCAGAATATTTATAAGTTTGTCTGTGCATATGTAAGATGATTACAGAATGGAATGAAGTTTTGCAGAGATATCTTGGTGAGTCTTGTGTATTGTAAGTAAAAATAGCAATGTAGTGATAATAGGAATCTAAATTCCTTGTGCATTGTCAGATCTAGAATGAAATTTTTATTTTGAAACTGTGATACTGCAAGTTAACTAGATTTGTTGGTGCTCAATATTTCCAAATGTGATTGTATTTGTCATACATTTTCTTGAACATCAGTAGGCCATAACTGTAAGTATAAGACTGTTCAACTAGTCTTGGAGCACATTTTGAGCAGATCTGAGCTAAAATCTTGTTTATAATTCTTGCTTCTCTAACTTGTTGCTTTCTATACATATGTTTGTTTTTAGTCTTTTGTGAATACAATGACTGCTTTGAGACATGTGTTTTACTTCAAACTCCTAATTTTCATCTCTTTGTGAAGTGTCATTATGCCATTGGTTTTGGTCAACTTAATTGCTTCAATTTTTGAGTACTTGTGGAAGGAAGGAAATATTGCTTTCTTGGTAGGATCCATTAATCATGTTACTCCTGTTAATCTATCTTCCCTAAGTGCACAATGTTTGTGGGATAATAAGTTTTTGGGTAAAGGCACAATTTGAGATTTAAACAAAAGTCAATTATTCATATGGGGGAAAATCATAAAATTTGTTTTCCTGGTAAGATGTTTTTCTGTAACAGAATGCTTTTAATTTTAGGCAGCTTTCATTGATCATGTAAACTGTTAATCATGTAAACTAAATGGGGCAATACTTAGGGTAACTATTTCAGATTTTTGACAGCAAATAATGGAATTGGTGTTGAGATTTAAGAGATCACTCAATTAAAATTCTCAACCTATGCATTAAAGAAATTTATTTGTCTAAAACCTTTTGTTTCATTTTTATGTATTATAGGACATCAGATATATTATTATAGTGTATATATGAGTGGGTCAATTCATTGTAAGTGGTCCAGCACTGATTACATGATATTCTCAGAAAAAAAATCATATCTTGTATAATAAATTCCCTTACATTTTCACTGTTGAAAGCTGTTTTTTTAAATCAATGAATGTACTCAGTTCACAAATGGCAGATCTTTTTGTTGCAAGTCACACACAATTTTTACTTTTTCACACTTAAGAAGAAATGTCTTAGTGGCTGTCCCTAAATAACATAACGCCAATTTGTAGAAAAGTAAAACAATTATAAAACAGAAATGAGCTGCATTAATTGTATTTGTGCTATTCGTTAAAATTTATTGTAATTGTCATGAGAATTAGTAGGTGGTCCAGACTGCACATTACAATAAGTTTGGGGAGAATTTTTTAATGAAGGAAGAACACGTTGGCCAGAAAATTTCTGTCAAGTTGTGCACATGCCGTTGCATAGGCTTTGAGTCTACTGCGCCAAGTAATTGGATTCTAGAATATGCTATAGATCAGTTTTTAATATTTTCTTCAGTCTGAATAAAAAGAATTCTTTCAGCAAATTTTGAAAGATTTTAAAGATAAATATTAGCATCATGTAACACTAAACTATGACCCTCCTCTACCATTTTGTAACGCAGTCTCAAACCCCCTCGCCCCCTCTTCAGCGCTTCGTAATTTGTGGACGACTGCTTAAGAAGAGAAAGTTACGTAATGCTGCGCGAAAAAACGGCGAATTTTCGGCAGAATTTTCGGCATTTTTTACAGGGCCCTGGTAAAGAAAATGTGGATAAATTCAGTGGCTAAATTTGGCAGAAAACAAATCCTTCTAGCCATGTAGCCAGAATCCATCTTCTGTGATTCCTTGATACCGAAAAATTGATTGACGGCAGAACGTCTGTCTGTGCGGCTGTGAACAACGCTAGTGGCTAAGCCGTTCAACCTATTTTCTCCAAAATTGATATTCCGCTGTCGATGTGGCTGATGTCAAGGCCACTTGAAGTTGAAACCGATATTTTCATTTTGAGGCACTTTACATGAAGCCCCTGGGACATTTTCAAAAAATAGCACCTTCAATTTTTTATTAAATTGTGTTGTTGGATAGTCTGCTGGACGCTTAAGAAAATAGCGCAGGTCTCATGTTCATTGAAAACTGGGTTTTCGAAATTTGCAAAAATTCATAAATTGTTTTGGCGTGTTCTCTTAACTAAAATATCAAGAATAGAGATTTTTTCTTAATTAAATCTGTTCCTTAAAGATGGATTTTGAAATAAGGTTATTTAGAATTTTTTGAAAATTTGAGTATATTTCGCGTAATTGTGAGTGAAATATAAACAACTTTTAATTTTGTTTAACAATTTTTTATCAAAAACGGCTCCATTATTTTTGATAAAATTTTGTTGTTGGATAGTCTGAAGGACGTTTAAGAAAAATGTGCAAGTCTCAAGTTGGAGAAAATCCTTGATATTTTGAAAATTGAAAAAATTAAGATTTTTTTCGGTGTCTTTCTACAACTACAATTATGAAGATACAATTTTTTCTTAGTAATAATAATAATAATAATAATAACAATAATAATAATAACAACAACAATAATAATAATAATAATAATAATAATAATAATAAACCGCCACTCTGAAACTTAACTATTTAATCAAAAAGAGTACCCATAATAAGAGGGATCACTTTCACAAATAGCATGTACTCAAAAGACGTAACACCAATTCATACATTTAAACGCTAACTGAAAGCTTTCCCTGACTTAACAAACATGTTCATTACAGTGTACAAGGAATTTTCAAATTAACAGTTTCCCTAAAAAATAAAATCATAAGAATTTCTGTTTCATTAGATTTTCTGTTTCATGTGAACTGTTTCAAGCTGATGAAAGAAAAAGAACGCTATCACATCCTGTGAAATTAGAAGAAGCAAAAAAACTGGTCAAAACTTGCCTCCTTACCATTTCCAAGTTATAAATATAAATGGACTACTATTGTTAAAATTTGATGTAAGTTGCAAAATAAATTGATACTGTATTATGAAGTGTACATTTTTAACTATGTAATATTTAATTACTGTATTTTTATTATGTAATTATTATTATACGTCGTAGCAATTTAAACTATCACATATTGAAATGTGAATATTAGCAAGATAAATTTATCTACTGTTAAACATCTCTAATCTAACTGCTAAACAAGTATTGTA